ATTTAGATTGCTAAACTAGGGGGTTAGCTTGCTTGTGGACCCTCTGCTGTGTTTTCTGAATGTTATTATTGCTGTCTTGTCTGGGCGGCTGTATTATGTTTTCAACTGTGTTTTCATTCTATATTTGACATTTTGTAAGCTGCCCAGAGTCTTTTTTTTTTTTGAGTCAGGTGGCCTTAACACATCTAATAAATACATATTTAAGTATGCATACTTCAAATTGCAAAGCTTGTGATACTTCTTAGGTACCAATATCTTTGTGTTACCTCTGCAAAGGCAGGGCCTACACAATTTCTGGTCCACCAATATCTGTCTGCTCATTCATTATGGCCCAAGTTATTTGTGCCCCCCTCTCCCCATAAAACCCTAAACAAAAAGTATATTATTTACCACTCAAAAAGAAACTTGGGGCAGCAACTTTCCTTAGCTCAGGTGGAATGGGGAGGATTTATTATTTCTGTTCTTCTTTTATTGTTACTTGGTATTTATAACCCTTTTCTGTACTCTGCCTTGAGTCACATGGCAGTTGAATGGCCTTACAAATCTAATAAATAAGCACAGAGAAATTACTGCTGACCAGTTTAGTTTATGATAATTCTGTAAATAAGTATAATAGAAACCAATTATGCTCTGCATCATGTTTTGTTTTTAATTGTAAACTGCTTTGAGACTTCTTTTTAAATGGGAAGCAATGTACAACTATTTTAAATAAATAATGTCTACCAATTAAACTGCAGTATCCCATATAAATTGCTTTGTGACTTAACATAGTTACGGATTTTATCCATTGAACACAGTCACAATCCCTTGAGACATTTCCAGATGGATAGCTTCTAGTGCTAGCAGTCAAAATTGTATATAGCTATTTCTATATGGCTATTTAATATTTTTCCCATGGCTTTTTAAATAAAAAAAGGGGGAGGGGGTTGAAAAAGGAGTTGGTGGTAAGAAAAGGTGGAAAGGTTTCGTTGTTTGTATCCACTGTAAAATTCTGTGGCTGAAGCAAAGTGATTTGAAAGGGCCTTACTTCAGGTCTCTTTAGGCAGGAAAGATGTGTTAATATTCTAGTGATTTTTGTTCATGGAATGGGAATATGTATTGCTGACAAAGCAAAAGAATCATATCCTTTTTGAGTTTTATTTCTTGTGGGATCTGCTAAAAACAAATTAAGAATCTGTTCCGTCCGGTCAGGTAAACAGACTTGTAAAGAATCCTTTTTAGTTCAGGTAATTCAGTCGTATTTTCTAGGGGATCATAGTTGAGCTGTCTATGAAATAATGTTCCATCCTGCCTAAATATCTGTATGAGCACATTCAGGCGCTCTGTTTATGTAGCCCATGAAGTAGTGAGGTGGGAGGGAGTGATCGTTGGGGAAAACCTATCTAATTATTTCCTTCTCTTTCTTTTCTTCCCCTGCAAAACAAAAAATCCCAGTCGAGTGGTACTACCTTGCTCTGTAGAAGAGGTAAGTTATGAAACCCCGCTCTGAGGGAATTCACGATCTTGCTCAAGATCGTGGGTAATGATGGGCTGCTATAAAACAGTCCAGAGTTAGCAATATTCTAGCTTGTTTTGTCTTCTACTCATGAATAGGTTTTGGTAGCCTGCTTCTTCTCCAGGGAAAGCAGTGTTTTACCCCCCTGTCTTTTTGTCCTCTTCAGTATAAAGTGGGACAGTTATTCTCTGTGGCTGAGGCTAGTAAGGACAACACCGGTGGTGGTGAAGGAATTGAGGTGCTCCAAAATGAACCCTACGAACGCGAGGGGGAGCAGGGGCAGTACACCCACAAGATCTACCACCTCCAGAGGTAAGGACCACCCTGGGTGTGGGCAGCTGATGGCAGGCTGGATCTAAGTCTTCCCTTGTTTCTTTCTCTCACAGCAAAGTTCCAGGATTCATCAAGATGTTTGCCCCTGAAGGGTCCCTTGTTGTCCACGAAAGAGCCTGGAATGCCTATCCCTACTGTCGGACGGGTGAGCCTGAGGGAAGGGAAAAGAGACCCAATTATTATGGGCAGAAACGATTATTGACCAGAACTACAAGCAATGTAGTTCAAGAAGACCTTCAAATTTCCACATCATTGAAGCCATTTTATTTTCACACTACATTCCCAGTGGTGAACAGGCAGTGTCTTGGCAGAGGAAACAGGGAGCACCCATTCACTCTAATCCTGCTTGAATTGAGAATGGGCAGTTGCAGATGGGGGGTGGAGCTTGATGTAATTAATAAAAATAATTTATTATTATTACTTTCCCCAAATGTAATCTGAAAATACCAAAGCTCTAGAAAATTAGTCACAGGGCAATGGAGCCTTTAGAAGGGCATGAGATCTTTCTTATTATATTCTCCAATTCACATGGCTGGAATTGGCAACCTGTGGCCTTCTCCAGATGCATTTGCCTAAAACCAGAAATCAGAAACATGAAAATCGTAGTAAAAGCCTTAAAATAAGTGTTAGCAAAGGAAAGAAAAACGCCCAAATTGTGCTCCATCACCCAGGAGACAGATTGAAAATCCAGGCCCATTGTCACATAGCCCAGCTCCCTTGGCATCATCCTTCAGGCCACTCTGCCATTCAGTCCTCCCAAAAAAGTTAAATGCAATGCTTGGCCACAAAAACGTTGCCCACTTTTACATTGTGACCTCCTCAGCTCTGATGCCCATAGCATTCTGCCTGCTGAGTGCTGGATTCTAACGTGAGACATTTTGAGTCATGCATAGTAATTACTGCACTTTTAGAGACCTAAATAATATAGAGTATATATCCACATACATGCCTTGCTGCAGAGATCTGGTCACACAGGGAGATGTACTGCAAAGAAGGAAAGGTCAGGATCAGTGGGCTTATCTTTTCCTCCCCCCACCCCAATTCTGATTGAACTGCTAGATAGGCCTGTAATCTAACCTTAGTTAAGATTATTGTTGGGGCAGAATAATAAGATGTGATTTAGAAAAAAATTCTGATTTGCTTTGCCACGCTAATATGCTTTCTGTCTTTTCCCTTATTTCGGTCTCATCTGCTGCAGTCATTACGGTGAGTGACGTCTGAAATGGGCAGCTGTGGGTGGGCGGACCGTTTTTCCTAGTTACTGCTCCCCACCCACAAACTTCCCAGGCCTCTTGAGCACATCTATGTCCTCTAATCCACACCCCCTGTGGGGTTCATCAGTTCTGTGTGACTCATATGAATTTACTCAGAGCATTCAGAGTAATGTATCCCTGACAAGTGCTGTGTGGCCTTAGTTTTTGCAGGTTCTGCTATACAAAGGAGGTGTAATTCTGGGTAACCATGTTTCCTTCTCCTCTTCTGTAGAATGAGTACATGAAGGATGATTTCTTTGTCAAAATTGAAACATGGCACAAACCGGATTTAGGTGAACAAGAAAATGTAAGTAGGAGCGTGCAAATCTAACAGATTGTTTGTACAAGAACTTTACAAGAACTTGTAAATCCTACTGAATTCTGTTCTTTATAGACAGCAAGACCTTGTATTGCTGGGCTCAAGTTTATTAAACTTGAATAAAACTTAAATAAAATTGTGGTTATCAGTCTTTAGGGGACATCGAGAACACCACAGATTAGTTCTGGTTTGGAGAATTAGCTTCCAGGAAACCCTTGAAACTGCTGAATCATTGTGGTCCAGAGAATTCAGTTTTGCATATCCCTATCAGCATTTATTTTCTTGTATGGCTAATTGCCCAGAAGAGAGGTTTTGAATTGTTAAGATTATGTGCTTATTAGCTTAGTGTGACTTGTAAAATTAAACTGTGCTTTATTTTCTTGGGGTTTGGCATGTTGTTCAAATCCAGCCATTATGATGTTGGGTTTAACATGGTATGCAAGCCTAGTTTATTTATGGTTAAACTGTGGTTTGTCATAATAGGTGAAGTAGGGATGTGCAAAACTCAACGTTTGAGGCATGGAACATTCCAGTGTTCTCTTTTTGTGTTCTGGAAGAGGCTGATTTGGTTGTTTTGGGGATGGCTCTGGTTTTCCAAAAATAAATCTACCTCTCCAGAAGTGGCTTGTGGTGTCTAGGCAGGGTATCAGCACTGAGTTTTTCATGCAACTAACGTGAAGTGCTTAATAGGGAATAAAGCACTTAGAGTAAAGAGATTTTAAAAAGAGGAAACAAGCTGGAGCAAAATCTTGCTTGATCCAAGTATCCCTAAATCAAAAGAATCCTGTTTAATCATGATGTACAAAATTAGCCCAATGAAACCAAGCTTCTACACGGCAATAGACAAAAATAATGTACTGAAGATATTACCTAGCCAGGTAATGAAATGTTTGCAAGAAAACAACCAAGCTCAGAGAACACCAAGAACTCCACAGTTCAACCCTGAGCTACGTATATTCACTTCTATTGGAGACAAAAATAAGTAATATAAGACCTAAACAGGTTAGCGTTGAAATTATCAATAAAAAGTCCAAGCAAATGAAAAAGGCTTTAGCTTGATGGCAATATATCATAGGAGAAATTGGAGAAAGTCCTGGAGAAGATGTTCCATAGGTGGTTGAGGCTCCAAAGAAGAAAGCATTCCATTTGCCACCTACCTGTTCCTTAAAGGAGGGCAGCTGGAAGAGACTCTCTGGGGATCCTAAGATTAAAAGACAACTGGCAGCGATTTTAGATACTGGCTGCATTCACATATGTTAGCCACATTTCTTTTGTTAAAGAAGCCAGAGACACAAGAGGGCCAGTGTTTCAGACAAACCAAGTTTCCCTGTTTCATTTATAATTTCCTGGCTAATTCCAAGTTTTTCTTTCTTTTTTAAAAACAACTCTTGGCTTACATATCTATGACTTGGTTAGATGCTTGGGAAAGGCCTTACAGAAAACTAGGAGCGAGTCAGGAAATCACAACTATTTGCCTTGTTCACACATCATATTGTGCTACACTTGTAATCAGTGAGCCAACAAAAACATAGTTTAAAATCAGTGGGATTATCTGATCTAAATACAGCCATCAAGCTGAGCGAAAACCAACCAAAGTAGCTCATTGGTGCTTCATATGTGGCCACAGGGTGATCCATATGGACCTCCAGAATTTGTTATCAAACTGTAATTTTTAAAATAACAGAAGATGGAAATTATTAAACATTTCATTTTTTAAAAAAATATTTAATAATGATTTCTTAAACTGTTCAGTTAATGAGCAGAGAACAATCAAGTTAATAATCTTAATTATAATTAAAACTCAATCAAATTGTTTCGTCCTCGTCCCATCCACTTCTTTTTGGAATGCAATTCTAGGCAGGCTACTCAAAAGCCAGACTGTAAAAAGTTGCCTGCTCCTGCTTTACCATGAGGTGCGAACTCAGTCACTATATCTAAAATATTAGATATTTAGATATATCTAAAATATTAGATATTGTGTATAAAACATACGTATGTCGAGAAGTTCTCCAGAATCACATACCTTTGATCCTATAAGTGATTTCTGAAATCCTAACTCTTTCTCCTTTGCAGGTCCATGGGCTCGATGCAGATACCTGGAAAGATGTGGAAGTTGTTCACATAGACATTGGTGATCGGACACAAGTATCAGATGATGTAAGATACTGCCTGGGCTGTTCCTTGGCAGTTGGCAAGGCGGGTGACCTGAGATGAAGGCAGGGGAATTCTGGGTCTTAAAAAGGGACTGGGAGACCGTTGTGAGCTACGGAGAGTTCACTTCTGGTGGCAACAGTGATGACTGCTTACACCAGTTCCACCAAATGCTTGCTAAAGTTCTGTGTGACGCTCAGTCTCTTTTGCCTTTCACTGGCTTTTGGATGTTAAACATTGTGGGGTTTTTTTTTTCTTCCTCTGTCATTAGGTTAGCCATTTTCTGCTCAAGCTGTAGCAGGAGATTAGTTGACTTGTTCTGACTACTCTTCCAATTTCTTTCTCATCCGCTGAATGGAGAAATATGTCTTGGTGTTAGATATCCAGATTCTTCCTCACATCACAGTTTGTTGGGACTTCTACCCTGCATGTTGCCACCTTTCCCAACTCCTTTCTCTTTCAGGATTACAAGCCAGATGAAGATCCAGCTCTCTTCAAATCTCTGAAGACGGGCAGAGGCCCTCTTGGTCCTGACTGGAAGGTATATTTACCCCCCAAAAAGGGGGAAATTGGCTTTTCAGTACGTCTTTGATTGCCCCCCCTTCCCCCTTCTTTCAGGCATTCTAGATTCCAAGAGAGGCTTGATCGGATGCAACCTCATTAGAGCCCCAAAATTTGGTTTGACCAACCCAGTGTTTCTGGTCAGGATCTCTTATCCAAAATAGGAGATCAGTCCTGCTTTTTTCCATAGAACTACAAGGCTTGCTCACATACTGTGTTTTCACACTGGGCTGACTTAAGCTGCCTGTGCATTTTGGAAGCGTTATTATGCCACATAACTCATCTGATATGCTAGAATAGCCTTCCACAATTTGGCACCCTCTGAAAATGTTGGGTTACAGCTCCCATCATCCCCAGACTGCATAATTGTAGCTGGGTACATCTGGAGAGCACCGGAGTGGGGATGATAGACTCAGATTCCCTTTGTCCTTAAAATGTATCTGATGGTCCCAGGCTAGCCACTGCTTCCTCAGCCTAATGTGAACTCCTTAGAGAAAAGTCATCTTGCTTTTCTTTGCTTGAAGGGTTGTTCTGAGGAGTAAATGTTTTTTCAAGTATATTATTTGTTGAGAAATGGAAACCGGATAAACAAAATTCATGTGAGAAATTTTGATTCAGTGTTATCTGTTCTTTCTGCCTCCCTCCAATTCCTCTCAGATGTTCACCAAAGAGAAACATTACTTTAAAATGTCCAGGACAGGGGCAGAGGGGCACCTGTGCCCCCCCCCCCAAGCCTTGAGTGTTGTTACCATTTTTTAGAAATTCTTTCCAACCCAACAGAATGACGGAAAGAAATGATGTAAAGGGGGTTGCAACTCAGTCTATGTGTCTTCAGCAGGAAGCTCTCTGAACAGAACTGGGCCAAGTTTGGTATGTGGGAAGAAATCAGCATGAATTTAAAAATAGGATAGATCCAGCTAAGGGCTGTAGAGAAGAAAGTCCAGAAAAATTCCCCCATACTTCCCAATAGGAGAAGCAGTTGAGCGCTGGCTCAGCATGTTGCTGAAAGCTCCATCCTAAGGCCTTCCTTCCTTCCCAGTCAGGTAACCTAAAGCAGAGTTATGTTAAAGGAGTTGGGAGAAATTCCAGAAGCCATGCTCTGCATGCTTTCCTGTGGCAGGAGGAGAACTCAAACACATGATTGCAATGAGATTATAGTACAGGTAGTCCTCGCTTACTAACTGCCTCATTTAGCAACCATTCAAAATTACCATGATTTTAAAAAAAAGACAGCTTTGCGATCAATTCTCACAGTTATGACCATGACAGCGTCCCACAGTCACATGATTGCCACTCAGGCACTTCACAACTAAAGTGCGTTTACAACCGTTGCAGCATCCTGCAGTCATGTGGATCACCATTTGTGTGCTTCACAAACAGCATCCAACAAGCAGAGTGCATGGAGAATGTGGAAGTAAAATTGTAAGTCATGGTCATGTGATGTCTCACTTAATGACCATGGTGATTTGCTTAACGACTGAATGGGAAGTGACATCATAAGCCCATTATGGTCACATGATTTTCTGCTTAGTGATGGAGTTGCCAGTCCCAACTGTGGTCGCTAAGCGAGGACTACCTGTAACTGTATTTAATTATAAACTGCTTCTCTGAAATCAAATTTCATTTGTGTTCTGGCCCATCTGTTTTGCGGAGGGTAACTTCTGGCATGCCATTCAAAGGGCATGTGCACCCTTGGCCTGGAAAAAGTAGAGCATCCTGGTCTTGCCCTAACTCTTCTGATTTTATTCTCTCCCCCCCCCCCTTTTTTTTGTTCCTGTTAGCGGGAACTAGCCAATAATGAAGATTGTCCCCACATGTGTGCCTACAAACTCGTGACAGTGAAGTTCCGCTGGTGGGGCCTTCAGGGCCGGGTGGAAAAGTTTATCCAAAAGGTGAGTTCAAGGTGGGCGGTTGCTTGCTCTTGTTTGGGAAAAGTTGCTGGTTTGAATGAAAATGGAATCTGAAGCTCTCTCCCCTCTGTTTAAGGAGGAAACCTCCCCACCTTCAGTAGCATCAAGCTGATGTAGCTCTTTATGAATTAATAAGATAGAGAGGTTGAGTCCAGTAAAGATTGGGCCATCTTCTCAGGAGAAGCACTAGAGTTGGCTAGTTCAAAATGGCTGCCAGTCTTGCTTTCCTGTCTGAAGAGCCTAGCCTGGATTTATTGCTAAGGCTTTGATGTCCAAGTAAGTTGGCTTCTGTTCCCACATTGGGGTGTCTTGTATTCTCAGCATCCCAGTTACTTAAAAGCTTCTCTTTCTCCTCTGACAGCAAGAAAGACGCCTCTTTACCAACTTCCACAGGCAGCTCTTCTGCTGGTTGGATAAGTGGGTGGATTTAAGCATGGCTGACATCCGGCGGATGGAGGAGGAGACGCAGAGAGAGCTTGATGAGGTACTGAGGATGGTCACCAGTTTGGGAGTACAGCATGTACTGGGTGGGGTAGTAGAACAGCTTTCTTTCCCTGAGAAAAGTCTCTGCTTTAACAGGTGGTGGGTCCTTTATTGTCCTAAAGGAGGAAATGAATATAAGGGTACAGTGGTACCTCGGGTTACAAACGCCTCTGCTTACAAACTTTTCGGGTTGCGACCAGCTCCGGCTGCAAAAATTTACCTCGGTTTGCGAACTCTGCCTCGGGGTACGAACCGGATCCGTGGCCATTTTCTGCTGTGACACGTGGTCCGTGGCCATTTTTCCGCCCATGCCACGTGGTCCGCGGCCATTTTTCTGCCCGTGCCACGTGGTCTGTGGCCATTTTCTGCCCGTGCCACATGGTCCGCGGCTGTTTTTCCGCCTTGCCGCGCGGTCCGCGGCCGTTTTTCCGCCCTGCTGCATGGTCTGCGGCCATTTTTCCGCCCGTGCCACATGGTCCACGGCCGTTTTTCTGCCCTGCCGCGTGGTCCGTGGCCGTTTTTCCGCCCTTGACACGTGGTCCGCAGCCTCCGGAATGGATTAACGGTAATTACATTGAACCTTATGGGAAAATTTGCTTCGGGTTGCGAACAAATCGGGTTGCGACCAGAGTCACGGAATGGATTAAATTCGTAACCCGAGGTACCACTGTATTTTATAAAATGAAGCTTCCTAGCTAAAAAATCGGGTTGCGACCAGAGTCACGGAATGGATTAAATTCGTAACCCGAGGTACCACTGTATTTTATAAAATGAAGCTTCCTAGCTAAAAATGAAAGAAGTTTGCTTTTTTTCCTTCAAAATCATGCTTTATTCTTAAAAGGGTGCAAATAACGAGAGAGTTTAAAAAAAAGAAAGCAGCCTTTTTCTTTATAGTTTGAAGATGTAAAAAGTTTACACTATTAATCTTTAATGTGGAAGGGAAATCTGTGATCCACATGCAGCCTCTTCCCAACCCATTTTGTGTCTGCCACACTCTCTTTCCAAGATATGGTTGCTGAAATTAGTAGCAAAAACATCACTTTTCAGCCTTTTGGCTACGATCGGGTGTAGTAGCAGCAAAACCACCAGATTTTAGTGATACCATTTTGTGTTGGGCTTAATTATCTATTTTGAGCTTGAAAGATTGCAACCCCCCCCCAAACCCTTCAAATAGTGTTAACAAATTTGGCCCGCCTGTCTCACCTAGTGACACTGCTCTGCTACTGTTATGTCTGTTGTGTCCTTTCGATGCCAAATAATTAAAAAGGGGCAGCCCCTTGTTTCTACAGAGTTGTCTGCTCCTGCTCTATATTCATAAACAGCCACCTATGATTAAAGTATGGAAACATGTGAATGCATTTCAGTTCAGTTGTCCTTGATTACTGCTAGGAAACACATAACCGTTTTGGCTTGATGAACAAGCGGAATCAAGCCTAGGAGAAACTGAAATGGGCCAGGCCCATTAGGAGATTATTCTTGCAAGAAATCCATTCAACAAGGAATTCCGTGTTCTGTTGCAGATGCGCCAGAAGGGCACAGTGAGAGGCATGACTGTCGGGGATGAATGACTGCCCCCCTGCTGCTTAGGCCAAGAAATGACAAGGTTGGAAAAACAGGAGTGGAATGAATAGCACACTGGAAAAAGGCGGGGAATTGATTCAGAAGCTCACATCTCAGCTTAATACAGCAGAGATGCAAGACGTTTGCCCCACACAGCCTCTGCTCCTCTCACTACAGTGCAAGTAAACAAAAAAGGAAGAATATAATTAGCCATAATGAACCAGTTTGGTGTAGTGGTTAAGACATCAGGCTAGAAACCAGGAGACCGTGAGTTCTAGTCTTGCTGTAGGCACAAAGCCAGCTGGGTGACCCTGGGCCAGTCATACCCTCTCAGCCCTAGGAAATAGAAGGCAGTGGCAAACCACTTCTGAAAAACCTGGTCAAGAAGATTGCAGGGATTTGTCTAGGCAGTTGCCAGGAGTCAGCACTGACTTGAAGGCCCAAAAAAATTAAAATAAAAAATAATTAGCCATAATTTGTCTACTTTAGTGCAAGCTAGGATATTAATTCATGGTTTAAAATTTGGCTTGGGTTAAACAGGAAATTATAGCTAATTATTGATTTCCTGACTTACTTGAATCAACTGCATGCACAGGAAAAGATTTGTCACATCTTATTTAGCTGAGATCTGGCTGTGCAGATGTGGTCAGTAGGGTATATATAATCTTTGTGAGAAATGAGCATATAAACTAAAATTAGTAGGGATATTTTAAAGCCACTCCTGATAATTTGCATTGCATTACTGTTGCAACATTCTTATGATTAGAGATATACATTCAATAAAGAATACGGTTTGCAGATTCATACTTGCTACTTTTTTAATCAACAAAGCATAAATGTGACTTCCTCAGTCTGGTATCATTCAGATGTGTTGGGTTCCAACTCCCTTTGTTCATATGGGGCCAGCATATGAATTATAGCCCCAAACATCTGAAAGGCATCTGATGGAGGAAGGCTGGCTTAAATCTTTCAGTTAGCATTCCTCTTAAACTTTATTTGTATGTCTAAATTGCTTTATGTAATTATAAAACCAAAGCAGCTCATAAAATATTTTTTAAAGAATGCTAAATTAATCCATTGTATAAATTCTGCTTAAAAATGTGGAATGTAGGCACAGTTGCAATATGCAACCCAGCCACAAGCAATCTGCTTTAAAAAGTAGAAAGTCAGGCATTTTGATCAAAATACCTCCTTTGAAGATTTCAGCTTGGTGTCCAGAAGAACAAGTTTGGGGCCCAAGAGCCTCTTTTACTGGTAAGGTTAAGAAATTTTTACTTTTGAGACTTACTGTACTTTAGCAAGTTGAAGACGCAAAGCAAGGCTTCAGGTTCTTTAAGTAGTTCTTAAATTCAAGTAAGTTTAGAAAAAAACAGCATTTGGGGATCAGAAACAGTTTTTACCTATTAATACACACCTTCCATTGTCTTCATTGCTGCTGGCTAAGACCTCATATCCAAAGGTGCATCTTACAGTTAGAATCCTCCAGGTCTAAACTGGGCAGAAGTTAAATTAGGATTACGTATGACACCTTGGTGACTGTAATAGAGGAGCAAAGGTTTCTGATTTCCTATTGTTTAACAAAAGCAAGGAAAATATTTTTAATTTTAAAAAACTGCCACAGCTGGAATTGTGCTAAATGCGTATATTTTCACATCAATATTTATTTCCTGTTATAGAGTTGCTAACTAATGCCTTTAGCCCAGTGTTTCTCAACCATGGCAACTTGAAGACATGTGGACAACTCCCAGAATTCCCCAGCAGAATTCCCCAGCAATTCCCCGAACACTAACACTAACCTAATATGGCCGGCTGGGGAATTCTGGGAGTTGAAGTCCAACATCTTCAAGTTGCCAAGGCTGAGAAACATTGCTTTAGCTTCAGTTCTTCCTGAAGCTCTCCTGGGTGTTTGGCGTGTTTTATGTTAGAATTCCGGATCTATGCAAATTATAGTGTAAATTGGTAGTATTATATATGGTGTGGTTCAGAGGAAGCAGAGGCTGATTCTCCTGCCCTCCCTCAATTATTTCACAGCTGGCCCTGATTAATGGAACTCCAGGTTCTAGTTAAAACAGAGGTAAATTCCTCATGCTACAAGTCTGCCCTCCTCTGTTGCACGTTGTGTGGAGTTTCAAATGCATCATTCAAGCATCCAAAGATAGAAAGCAAGGCACACAAGCAGTTGCCTTTCTGAGGCCTTCTGTGAACATCCCATCTCTTCTACCTGTTTATGCAAGCGTGAGTCAAAGAAGGCTGAAATATAAGTAACTTGTCCAGGTTTAGACTAAAGTTTGCTCTGTAGAGAAAATACTACTTTTTGCTCATTCCTCTCTGTCTCTTTTCTACCCTAGATGCAGTGCCCATTCTGACCTGAGATTGGACCTATCCTCGTGGGACTTTCCCTTCTCTCTCTTCCTCTCTCTCGTCACCTGGGAAGGGGGAGATGGGTTCTTTCTTTCATTCCATACTTTTGGTCCGAAAATATTCCAAGCTGTCCCTGATTTTACCAGCCTGGGGAGCCCCATGAAACTGCTGCATATTACTTACTGATCATGGATTAATAGGTGTCCTTACCGCATGAATGGGATATCAAAGGGGGCAAGGACCTTTCAGGGGTGGGGGGGCATCTCCCTTTTTTCACACTGCAGGGTCAGGAATGCATGACTATTAATAACATTAATCTTAATATTCTTTAGAATCATACTTTGGTGGGTGGGTGGGTG